CGAACAATAGAATGTTTTTTAAAATTGAACTCTCATTTAAAGAATTTTATCAACAAATTTTTAAATAAGTAATTAAAATTCTTTTGACGAATTTCAATCAAATTTTTAAGAATATAATTTCATTTTTCGAGAAATTAGATTAAAATTGCATTAAAAATAATTGAACCTCTGTAAAAAATTTGATTGAAATGAGAAAAGTTTTTGAAAATAATTGAAATGTCAAGAATTTTATTAAAATTTTTGAAAATAATTGAAATATTGCCTAGAATGTTATTAAAATTTTTGAAAATAATTGAATTTTGGAGAAAATTTTTAATACTTATAAATTTAATTGAAATTATGACAATTTTTTATTTTATTTATAAAAATAATAAAAGGTTTGCTTAGAATTTTATCAAAAATTTTTTAAAATAATTCATTTCTTTGGGAAAATTTTATTAAAATAGTTGTTATTGAAAATCATTAAATGGAGGAGAATTTTTGAAAATAATTGAAATTTTGCCAAAAATTTTATTAAAATTTTTAAAAATAATTGCATTTCGGAGAAGATTATTATTATTTATAAAGATAATATTGAAATTTTGACGAGAATTTTATTAAATTTTGTGAAAATAATTGAATTTTGGACAAGAATTTTATTAAAATTTTTGAAAATAATTGAATTTTGGACAAGAATTCTATTATTTATAAATATAATTGAAATTTTGCCAACAATTTTAATAAAATTTTTGAAAATAATTAAATTTCGTACACGAATTTTATTATTTATAAAGATAATTGAATTTAGGAGAAGAATTTTATTATTTGTATAGATAATTTAAATTTTGAAGAAAATTAAAAAAAAATTTTTAACATAATTCAATTTCTGCGAAGAATTCTATTATTTATGAAGATAATTGAATTTGTTTGCGTAGAATTTTACTCAAATTTTTTAAAAATAATAATGCAATTCTTTTGGAAAACTTCATTAAAATAGATATTGAAAATCATCGAATTAAGAAAAATTTTTGAAAATAATAGAAATTTTGCCAAGAATTTTATTAAATTTTTGAAAATAAATTGAATTTTAGAGAATTTTATTACTTTTGGAAATAATTTAAATTTGAAGAAAATCTTTTTAATAGTTTGAACATAATTCAATTTTTGAGAAGAATTATATTGCTTTTGAAAATAATTGAATTTATTCTGCAAACTTCTCCAAAATTCAATTTTTTTAGTGTTTTTAACTAAAATTCTTCTATAAATCCATTATTTTTCAAGTTCTTCAAGAATTAGCTTATTTAAAAGTAAATTATTGTTAGAAATAAAAAAAATCTCTGTCAAATATAAAAATAATTTTTTCTTGAGAAAAGAAAATGTTCTCAATGTTATTTTTCATCGGAATTGTTAATGTTATTTAATAAGGGCATTTTATGTTAGAATATTTTGTTAGAAGAAAGGTAAATTAAATTATCCTCACAATAAAATTTTTTTTAATTATAAACAAGCTTTTGACGGATAAAATGGTTTTTTAATTGCTCCACCTGAGAACGTCAAGGTCGCCACTAGGTGGCAAGGAATCTAATTTTATCAACTGAACTACCATCTAGCGGTGACCTTGGCGTTCGCAGGTGAAGAGTCCCATCTCCCTATTAAATCTCAAGATATTCGTCAATATTCATTATTCTATAATTATTTATAATCGAATTTAGAAAGTATAACAATTAATATAAATGTATTTCAATTTGTAATATTGCAATATTTTTAGACTCTAAAATTTTTTTTTAGGTTTATTTTTGTCCTGGAATTAATTTGTCTAGTAAATAAATTTACAAAAACCCAAATATTCATGATTCGCGAGGAAATTTCCACGTAAGTATAAAGTAGCCACAAAGTAAGAACAAAAAAAAAAGAGTAGAAAATTGAACGCAATCGATCAAAATAAAGATGTATTTCCCACGGCTCATATCCTTTCATCTTTTATACATTCTTATTTCTCTCTTTTTAATCGCGAACATAGCGCCCTCTACTTATACATATATTACCCGAGGCACGGTATAAACTTATACATACATATATATGTCGATCAATCATTAATCGTCGCCAATAATCAGACGTTTTGTTCTTCGGTAATCCATGAAAATTATAACACTATATGACTTGTATTTTCCTTCTTTTCAATTTTTTTTTCTTCATCTCGTTCAAGTTAAAATACGATATCAACAGGACCCAAGAACCTGTCCTGTCCTGTCCTGTCCGTTGTGCAAAGAACCGATGGGTGATTAAGCTCGATAATATATACCAGCATTTATTAGTGATAACTAATAATATCTCGGGGATAACGTATTACAAAAGCATGATTTTACAAAAGCATACTTATAAACATAAGAACGTTATTGCAAAAAAGAAATGAAAAATTTACTCATAAATTATGCAATTATAAAAGATCTATTTAAGGTCGATGTACGGGAAGTCACATCACTTGATAATTTTCCTTTTTCTTTCAACGTTTAGCTTCTTTTAATACACTATTATAATTAACGAATGATTACACTCGAATAAATGAGATATATCCCACCAAGCGCAAGGTCTAAAGAAAATTGTCGATTATTATCTGACTCAAGGTACACGTATGATCTTGAAATTAAGATCCGATCTCATTAATCCAAGTTGTCAATTTCACTATTTGTTAACTCGACAAATGCACTACTGCATAATAAATTTTTTTAAAACAATTTGAAAATTTACAATCTTTTCTTCACTCTTCCTCTTCTTCTAATTAAATTATGAATTTAATTAAAAATGTAGCTAATTAAAAACTTTATTGAGAATTAAGCTAATTAAAAATTTAACTAAGAATTAAGTTAATTAAAAACTTAAGTGGGAATTCAGCTAATTGAAAATTTAATTAAGAATTCAGCTAATTAAAAACTTAATTAAGTATTATAAGCTACTAAAATAGTGAAATTTTACTGGCGAATCAGTCATTTTGTTTAAATTAAAATTCAATTATTTAAAACGCGCCACATTTAAAATCATATGAAAAAATAGTATTCAACTTAATTTAATAAACATAGGTACTCATTGCGCTGTATTGATTTATGTATTTTGTTCCTTGAAGGGCTTATTAGCCCTAGGAGCTTATTTTTTCTTAAATAAAAAAAATAAATAATTATTAGTTTAATTTATTTTTAAATATAATTAAAATTAATTATTTTGCAATAATAATATTACAGGAATTCAATTAATTTAGAATAGCATTTTTAGAAAATTTTCGAAAAAATCAATTATTTAACAAAATTTTTATACAATTCTTCACAATAATTCAATTAATTTCACTAATATAATAACATTTTTCATGGAAAATCAATTTTTTGATAAAATTCTAAGCAAGAATTTAATTATTTTCAATAATAAAATTCTTCTCAGAAATTCAATTATTTTTAAAAATTTTAATAAAATTCTTCGCAACTACTCAATTATTTTTATAAATAATAAAATTCATCGCAGGATTTTTAATTATTTTTAATACAATTTTACAGGAATTGCTCAAAAACTGTAATTATTAAAAAAAATAATGTTTTTTCAAAATTCCTTAGAAGAATAATTCAATTTTTTACAAAAATATTACAATTTTTCAAAGAAATTCAATTATTATCAAATATTTTAATAAGATTGTTCGAAAGAAAAATCAATTATTTTAAATACAATTTTAATTAAATTTTGTTGAAATAATTCAATTATTCTTTTAGATTTTAATAAAATTCTTCTCAAGAATTCAATTATTGATATAAATAATTCTTTGAAAGAATTCAATTATTATTAAAGATAAATAACAAAATTATTGCCAAAAATTCAATTATTTCGAGGCATTTTAATAAAATTCTTTACAAAATTCAATTATTTTCAGAAACAACAATATTCATCACAAGAATTCAATTGTTTTTAAACGTAATAAATTTCTTCTTGGAAACTCAGTTATTTTAAAAATTCTAATAAAATCGTTCGCGAGAATTCAATTATTTTCACATAAATGTTTTAAAAATTTCTCAGAAACTCAATTATTTATATTAGAATTTGCTTAAAATTAGTCAATTATTTAAAAATTATTTTAAAATTCTTCGCAAGAATTAAATTATATTTATAAATTTATTTAAATTCCTTCATTAATAATAAAATTCGTTGCAGGAATTCAATTTATTAGCAGGATAAGAAAGAAGTAAATATTTTTAATAAAAATTAGGAAAAAGTCAGGAAAATAAAAAAAAATTGAATGGGATTTTTGTCAGTTTTGAGAAGTGTCTAAAACGAGATTTTATGGTCGTCAAGTTTAATTTGCTAGTCTTTTTAGTTTGAAAGCTATACTTTTTTAAAATTAATTATCGAGTTCGAAGTCTGTTAAGGCAATTTTACAAATGTTGCTGCAATTCTAAGTGCATTTTTTACTTTTAAGTCTTTTTTAAAAAAAAATTTTTTTTAAGTTTAATTTTAAGTCTCTATTTAATTTTTACTATTGTCAAGTGTTAAAAAATTTATTTCTAGACAAAAAATAATTAATCATTCCGCATAATCGCACCACGTGCGCTTTTGAAATTTTAAGGAATCTCTCTAACTGTCAATATCCCATCAGAGTACATTTCAAAGCACTTTACTTTTGCCCAATACTTTTAAATTATTAACTAAAATATTATAAAAACTGATAAAAATTCAAAAAAATTTTCCTTTTTTTCAATTTTAAAAAGCAGTAGTTTTAAGTGGGACGATACGAATGATATGTTATTGACAAAAATAAGGTCATTAATATCAGATGACTTATCATCTGTTTTTATGTAGGTCCACAACTAATACATTCAAAAATTGTTGATTTCGTGAAAGTTGCGCGACATAAAATCAATTTCTTCTCTCTCTCTCTCTCTTTTTCTAAATCACTATACAACGATAAACACTGCTCGTTTGATAACGAAACAGTTGAGAAGCCCTGTCTTATCGAATCGACATTTTCAAATAATACTTGTACCCGTGTACAGCCTCTCACTTATCGATTCGAAAATCTCCTATTTTCTGAATGAACATGAAATAAATTTTGATTACATTGTCATCATTTTTTTCTCCTGAATTTTTTTCCACTTATTTTTCATGAGAAAAATAATTCGAATACATTTGGTAATACTATTTATAATCGAGAGCTTCTCTCGTCGATGAACGCTGAGCTTGCGCAGGTTTAGTCAGAAGGACGTCATCAACAAATATGGCGAGCCTCACAAGTTTATCACGAAAACTCTTCCAATTTTCACGTAATTTTCGTAATGTCGCGCGTTCCTATTATAAATTATCGAGTGACAGTGCATTTGGTAAAATTAATACGAGTGTCAAATTATTTGTTACCGGTTCAATAGCTTTAATACTCGAGCACAAATATACTTTAGGCGCCACTGTATATGCCCTCAAATCAAGAAAGGTAAGGACACACACAAATTGTACAGCAAAGTTCAAAAATAATCTCAAATTTTTCCCCTATTTTCTAAAATTCTAAAATTCGATATTTCAATTTTGAAAATAATATTTTCTTTTCTAATTGGTAGTTGAGAAAAATTGTACATTTTTAAAAGTAGAAAAACTAAAAACTTAATCTCATGCCTTGGATAAACATTGGGGCGCAAAAAGAAGTAGAATTCATTTTATTCAGTGGTATTCAAAAAAATTTCATTTTGTATTTCCTTGACCTTTAATTTATTGATTTCTACTTTCAATTCTTCACCAATTTTGTTACATAAATATTTAAATACTTGTTATTTATTTTTTCGAAAAAATTAATATTTTTAAATCTTCAATTTCAAACACAAACATTCTGAAATTTAATTCTTTTTTACAACTATTAACCTTCCAATACTCAATTATTTTTTAGAATTTTTAATTAAACGTTTTGCCCAAATTAATTATTTAGATACAAAAATTAAGTTTTTATAAAAATTGTAACTGTAACTTTTCATGTTTTTTTTAAAGTTTTTAAGGGGAATTATTAAAAATATGTAACCAAAAATATTAAAAATACTTATTTAAAAAAAATTTATAAAATCAGATTTAAATAATTTTTTAATTATTCAAAATATATCAATTAGTCACAATTACAATTACTTATAATTTCAATAATTTTTATAATTGAAAAATTTGTAATCAACAAAAATCTTTTAAAAGTAATTAAATTTTTTTAAACCAATTTTCGAAGAATATTAAAAACTAATCAAATTTTTAAAGATTATTAAATACTATCTACCAAACCAGTATTTAGAATATCAAATATTGTAATTCTTTCATAATCGATTAATAAACTAATTACACATATATACATAATTGCAAATGAACAAATTGCACTCTTACTTAAAACTTCATTCAAAATTTATGTCAATTAATTATGCCATTGCAAATGAGAATTTGCACGCTATATTATCATTAATTTAACTTGTATCATTTATTTTCATAGAATATAAATGATAATTCCTCCTTCTTGCATCATTGATTTGAAGGCGCACACAAACTATAAAATTTGAAATATTGTTAAAGGATACAATAATTTATTTCAAAAGCACATTATTCTAAAGAGCCGAAGAAATCAACAATAATGGTAATTGATGATTCGTAAAATTACCATTCGTAATAATAGATTGGTGATTTTGACGAGAGACTTAAATCATTTCAAGAAAATTTACAACCACATATGAAATATTTTCAAACGCATCAACAACAACAAAAAAACTAACTGCAAATTTAGAAATTGTCCATTTTTTATTTATGCATTCAGAAAAAAGATTTATATTTCACTTAAAACCTACTAAATATTATATTTATGCAAATAAATTTTAGTTGGTTTTTAAGTAGTAGCAGGTCCACCCGTACGCCATCAGACAATCAAAATTTAGTAAAAACGAATAAAAAATTTATTTTTTCCAAATTTAATAATTCTAATCATCTGAAAATCACCAGAGTTCTAGTAGGGACTGAGCTCTATACAATCCTGAAGAATACAGAATTTTATTTCAATTTTTAAGTAGTAGCAGGTCCACCCGTACGCCATCAGACAATCAAAATTTAGTAAAAACGAAAATAAAAATTTATTTCTTCCAAATTTAATAATTCTAATCATTTAAAAATCACCAGAGTTCTAGTAGGGACTGAGCTCTATACAATCCTGAAGAATACAGAATTTTATTTCAATTTTTAAGTAGTAGCAGGTCCACCCGTACGCCATCAGACAATCAAAATTTAGTAAAAACGAAAAAAAAAATTTATTTCTTCCAAATTTAATAATTCTAATCATCTGAAAATCACCAGAGTTCTAGTAGGGACTGAGCTCTATACAATCCTGAAGAATACAGAATTTTATTTAAATTTTTAAGTAGTAGCAGGTCCACCCGTACGCCAACAGACAATCAAAATTTAGTAAAAACGAATAAAAAATTTATTTCTTCCAAATTTAATAATTCTAATCATCTGAAAATCACCAGAGTTCTAGTAGGGACTGAGCCCTATACAATCCTGAAGAATAGAGAATTTTATTTCAATTTTTAAGTAGTAGCACCTTCACCCGAATGCCATCAGACAATCAAAATTTAGTAAAAACGAAAATAAAAATTTATTTCTTCCAAATTTGATAATTCTAATCATCTGAAAATCACCAGAGTTCTAGTAGGGACTGAGCCCTATACAATCCTGAAGAATACAGAATTTTATTTCAATTTTTAAGTAGTAGCAGGTCCACCCGTACGCCATCAGACAATCAAAATTTAGTAAAAACGAAAAAAAAAATTTATTTCTTCCAAATTTAATAATTCTAATCATCTGAAAATCACCAGAGTTCTAGTAGGGACTGAGCTCTATACAATCCTGAAGAATACAGAATTTTATTTAAATTTTTAAGTAGTAGCAGGTCCACCCGTACGCCAACAGACAATCAAAATTTAGTAAAAACGAATAAAAAATTTATTTCTTCCAAATTTAATAATTCTAATCATCTGAAAATCACCAGAGTTCTAGTAGGGACTGAGCCCTATACAATCCTGAAGAATAGAGAATTTTTTTTTAAATTTTAAGTAGTAGCACCTTCACCCGAATGCCATCAGACAATCAAAATTTAGTAAAAACGAAAATAAAAATTTATTTCTTCCACATTTAATAATTCTAATCATCTGAAAATCACCAGAGTTCTAGTAGGGACTGAGCTCTATACAATCCTGAAGAATAGAGAATTTTATTTCAATTTTTAAGTAGTAGCACCTTCACCCGAATGCCATCAGACAATCAAAATTTAGTAAAAACGAAAATAAAAATTTATTTCTTCCAAATTTGATAATTCTAATCATCTGAAAATCACCAGAGTTCTAGTAGGGATTAAACTCTATACAATCCTGAAGAATAGAGAATTTTATATCAATTTTTAAGTAGTATCAGGTCCACCCGTACGCCATCAGACAATCAAAATTTAGTAAAAACGAAAAAAAAATTTATTTCTTCCAAATTTAATAATTCTAATCATCTGAAAATCACCAGAGTTCTAGTAGGGATTAAGCCCTATACAATCCTGAAGAATAGAGAATTTTATTTCAATTTTTAAGTAGTAGCACCTTCACCCGAATGCCATCAGACAATCAAAATTTAGTAAAAACAAAAATAAAAATTTATTTCTTCCAAATTTAATAATTCTAATCATCTGAAAATCACCAGAGATCTAGTAGGGACTGAGCTCTATACAATCCTGAAGAATACAGAATTTTATTTCAATTTTTAAGTAGTAGCAGGTCCACCCGTACGCCATCAGACAATCAAAATTTAGTAAAAACGAAAATAAAAATTTATTTCTTCCAAATTTAATAATTCTAATCATCTGAAAATCACCAGAGTTCTAGTAGGGACTGAGTACTATACAATCCTAAAGAATACAGAATTTTATTTCAATTTTTAAGTAGTAGCAGGTCCACCCGTACGCCATCAGACAATCAAAATTTAGTAAAAACGAAAAAAAAAATTGATTTCTTCCAAATTTAATAATTCTAATCATCTGAAAATCACCAGAGTTCTAGTAGGGATTAAGCCCTATACAATCCTGAAGAAAAGAGAATTTTATTCTAATTTTTAAGTAGTAGCATCTTCACCCGAATGCCATCAGACAATCAAAATTTAGTAAAAACGAAAATAAAAATTTATTTCTTCCAAATTTAATAATTCTAATCATCTGAAAATCACCAGAGTTCTAGTAGGGACTGAGCTCTATACAATCCTGAAGAATACAGAATTTTATTTCAATTTTTAAGTAGTAGCAGGTCCACCCGTACGCCATCAGACAATCAAAATTTAGTAAAAACGAAAAAAAAAATTTATTTCTTCCAAATTTAATAATTCTAATCATCTGAAAATCACCAGAGTTCTAGTAGGGACTGAGCTCTATACAATCCTGAAGAATACAGAATTTTATTTCAATTTTTAAGTAGTAGCAGGTCCACCCGTACGCCATCAGACAATCAAAATTTAGTAAAAACGAAAAAAAAAATTTATTTCTTCCAAATTTAATAATTCTAATCATCTGAAAATCACCAGAGTTCTAGTAGGGACTGAGTACTATACAATCCTGAACAATAGAGAATGTTTTTTTAATTTTTAAGTAGTAGCACCTTCACCCGAATGCCATCAGACAATCAAAATTTAGTAAAAACGGAAATAAAAATTTATTTCTTCCAAATTTAATAATTCTAATCATCTGAAAATCACCAGAGTTCTAGTAGGGACTGAGTACTATACAATCCTGAACAATAGAGAATGTTTTTTTAATTTTTAAGTAGTAGCACCTTCACCCGAATGCCATCAGACAATCAAAATTTAGTAAAAACGAAAATAAAAATTTATTTCTTCCAAATTTGATAATTCTAATCATCTGAAAATCACCAGAGTTCTAGTAGGGACTGAGCCCTATACAATCCTGAAGAATAGAGAATTTTTTTTTAAATTTTAAGTAGTAGCACCTTCACCCGAATGCCATCAGACAATCAAAATTTAGTAAAAACGAAAATAAAAATTTATTTCTTCCAAATTTGATAATTCTAATCATCTGAAAATCACCAGAGTTCTAGTAGGGATTAAGCCCTATACAATCCTGAAGAATAGAGAATTTTATTTCAATTTTTAAGTAGTAGCAGGTCCACCCGTACGCCATCAGACAATCAAAATTTAGTAAAAACGAATAAAAAATTTATTTCTTCCAAATTTAATAATTCTAATCATCTGAAAATCACCAGAGTTCTAGTAGGGACTGAGTACTATACAATCCTGAACAATAGAGAATGTTTTTTTAATTTTTAAGTAGTAGCACCTTCACCCGAATGCCATCAGACAATCAAAATTTAGTAAAAACGAAAATAAAAATTTATTTCTTCCAAATTTAATAATTCTAATCATCTGAAAATCACCAGA